CTATACTAATGGAATCGCCCTCACTGGGCTCGTTTCCCTAATAGCACCCCCCTGGGCTTCCACTCGTGTGGCCCCCCCCACTTGGGGCCAAACACAAGCCCCCCACAGGCTTCTCTGGTGCTCCGTAAGTGGGGCTCAGGGGGCGGAAGCCATGCCTGGCCCCCTTACCCTTTGTCGGGATCCTCTGCCCTGCTCAGGCCTCTCAGCTACCGCCCATACCGGGCTACCCGCTGCACCACCTTGGCGCCAAACAGCCGTGCCTTTCCAGGCACCACCCACGTGTGCCCACACAGGGCACCAGGAACCCCCAATCTACTGGGGAGCTCCTGTGAGGCCTCCTCACACCCCTACAGCCTCACCTGGTCCTCTGGTCTATTTACACCACTAACATAACAGAACCATAAGCCAAACGGCTGTAACAGAACAATAAGCCTACATTTCCCTGTAAACTAGAAAACCATTTTGCATTGTGTAAATGAATATGTTATCAGCTCGCATAGTAGATGTGTGGGATTTGATCTCAAAGCATGATTTTGGCAGCTGATAAGAGATGCTATGTGGGTGCTATACATTTATGAGGCTCTGGTGTATTTGCATGCATACAGAGAATCTTGTAATTAAACACATAAACTGAATAACACACAGCCTCCCCATTGTTCCTCTTTATAGGTGTAATTAGATGCTAAGAGAACTATAGTAAGGAAAAGGAAATAGGAACAGTTTCCTCATGTCACCCCTTAAACAAGTTTTCAATTTCAATTAAAATAAATTACATTTTCTACCAGTGGAAATTACTCACATTATGCTTATATCATTTAGGATTAGCCACAGAAAGCCTGAGGAAAAAAAGGTACTCATTTAAAAAAAAAAAAAAAAAGAAAAAAGTTAAAAAAAAATTTACTTCTGAAATTATAAGCTGTTAGAAGCAAAACTTTGATAACTTTTAAGTTATCTCCTGTCCAGTTGTCTTTGTTACAGTTTGAATAATTGCAGGAAAATGACTCCTCAAAAGATACTTAATTTTTAAAGTAGCCGTGATTCTTTGACAAAGCTGTATGTACTGTAATTTGACATTTTGCTTGAAGAGTAAAGATGGTGTAGGCTAATACATTTAAAAGAAACTCATCATCCCATGCGATTACATAATGTGGAGTTAATAATGTAAGATGTTATCACATCATGCCATTCACAAGTCTTTTTATGGATAGCACCTTGCACACTTTGGAACATCATGTTCCTTCAAAGGCTTGTTGTTTCCAACATTATTATTGTAGGGGTCATCAGATGGACTCCCTGAGAAAGCAGTTGATTTTTGTCTGACAAGTTTTTTGAGATGAGATGCCAGTATTGTTCAAGATGATACTAAACCTAGGTGATAGCTGAAGCTGTATGAAGAGACCATAAAATAAATAAAGCAGATGTATAACTTTTTGGAAGTGCTAATAAGAAAAAGTATGTTGCTAAATTTGTATTTTTAGAAGTGTGCTGGGGATAGCCCAGTGAAGTTTAAAGCTTAAGCTATCTTATTTGGGCATGGCCATATTTGATAAGTAAAATACATGCACATTCATCTCACTTTTTCTCATTTTCTGGGTATACTTGTGCAAATGTACTTCATTTCCTCAAAACATAAAACTGAGGGAGTAGCTGGGCAAACCAAAGTGGGAAGTAGGAACCTACAAAGAATATCATAAGATCATTGATCCATATACCATCTATTTCCCTATTTTTGCTGTAGTGACCAAGCGTAGGGTGTCTGGCCTAGTGGGAAACAGGTGCTAGGAACCTAGTAGTGGGAGGGGGGAGGAGGGACAGGAGCTGGAAATCTGAGTTACCAAATCCAAGGGGGAGTTCCAGAGACAGAGTCCAAGTCAGAGTCTGAGTTATGGTTCTGAAGTCATGGACCAAGTTACCAAAGCCAGATGGGGTTCACAAAAGCCATAATGCAGAACCAGAGTAGGGTGAGAAGCCAGAAAACCAAGGAGTACAAGATCAAGAGGGTCTTGGCAAACCTTCAGGCAAAACAGTTGACTGGCCTTCAGTTTGCTGTCAGAGGTGGACTCAGAGAAGGGAGTCTGCTCTCTCCAGCCACCAATCAGGATGCTCTAGCAGCCACCAGCTGGTTCATCAGCCAGGGTGAGGCTGCCAGATAGTACTTCTGGCAGATCTGGCCAGTAGGGTTGCCTGTTAGGGTCCCTTTAGGGCCCCTGACACTTGCCACTGCTGGCCCAACTTTCTAAGAGGGTACTTTCAGCTCCCATTGATTTGGACTAATCAAGACATGATTGTTCGTGAGCAAAAGTTTTGTGTGTCCAGATAGAAAGATGAGCATTATCTTAGACATTTGGCCATACTGTGCACATTCTAATTTTCCAAAAGGGGAATGTTCTGGGAGGATATTTTCTTCCTTCAAAAATATTATGAGCCTTCTTTCATGAAATACCTATGTTGAAGATGTTTATTTTGGCAGAAAAAAGCTCAAGGTCTCCTGCGTTTGTTTGCTGCTTTGCCTTTTTCCTTTTCATAAATGTGCTTTTAAAATCATTCCACACTTCTGGGACCCCATTTCTGAGCAGAGCCTCTTGATATTACTGTAGCACAAATATAATAACACTGACTCACTTATAACTTTTATTGATTCTAAGAGGTGATGTTGTTAGTCATCCAATGACTAAGGTCTCTGTTCAGAAAAAAACATTTGTGCACATATTTAAGTTGACCCTTATTCAGGATGCTGTTTGAGCATGAAGGATTTACATCCATGATGAAGTACCATTGTGATTTTGGATGACTCCTGAACCAGTATATAAATGACAAAGCTGATAACATCTATGCAGATGCTGAAAGCAAACTGAATGGTTGAATAGTTCCATGTCTCTAAATGAAAGGACAGTGAATTGAAGATGGGCTTAGGAAGGAGTTAACTCTCTTATACGAAGCCTAATGCTGTTTGTTTCAGATCACCAGGCAGGACTTCTGGACCCAATAAAAAATAATCTCTTAGTGTCCCCCATTTTAAGATTTGGGGTTTAGGGTGTCCCCTGATTTCAGATTCAGAAGAGGAAAGGGTTTGAGTGCTTTGTGGTTTTTGTCTGGGTTGGAAAACCAGGGATGAACAGGGATTTGTCAACTGGCCTTGGGTCCTCTATCACAAGGTGATTTAAGAACTATTATTTTTCGTCTCCTTAAGAACTATAAGGGTTTGTTTTGGAAGGCTTAATATAAAGCTAATAAGGTGAAGAATTGTGTGCAGTTGTTTCTGAACAGTATATGTAGGGTTTCATGGCAGTTCACTGTTCTCTTCAATTGTGTGGTAAATTTTAAATTAAACAGGTTGCAATAACACTTGAATTGGAAGATTAACTAGACAATAGAGAAGGTAGTGTACTCCTCTCCCACTTCCTCTCCCTACTACTTCATCTACAAAGTAGTATAATTCCAGGCAATTTTCACTACAGGTGCACCAGTAACAACTTTCTTGTCTAATACTGATAGCCGATTATTAACCAGCCACATCTGTCAATACTGGTCCAATAGCCAATTTACAGGAATGCAGCTCAGCAGCTTAGAGAGAATTGTCTTGCCGGTAAGTCTTTGGGGGAGGGAAAGGGCATGGGGGGGCAGATTGTGGCCCCCCACAGTGAGGGATGGAGTGGGGAAGGGGCAGGCGCTGCTCAGCCGGGGCAGTGAATACGACCCTGGGAGTGGGACGGAGCTGTGTGTGGCTTGTCTAGGATGGGAGGGGCATGGGGTTGGAGCAGGGGGGTGGCACCCTACCACTACACACACCCCTGGGGAGGCATGGGGGTTATGTGATCCATGGATTTGTGCATGGGGCAAGGGTGAGTTGCCTGCTGTGGACTCGGGCCAGGGGCTGCACTGGTGTCTTCCCGGTGGTGGGGCTGGGGCAAGGCTGTGCTCAGGACAGAAGGCATCCATGCTGGGAGGTGGGTCTACAGATAATTTTGGGGTGGCTATAACCCACCCCATAGCCACCCCTCCCAGTGCCACCACTACCTGCCCTGAGCACAGGTCCGGCCTAGCCTCCCTGCTGGGAAGAAGCTGGTGCAGCCCTGGCTCTGTGCCTGCAGTGGGCAGCCTGCCCTCACCCCATGCACAAATCTGGGAGGCAGATGGCCCCCATGCCTCCTCCAGGGGTGTGCGCAGCAATGGGGAGCTGCCCTCCTCGCTATCTCCACGCCCTCTGGACGAGCTGCCTGCAGCTCCATCCTGCTCCTGGAGTTGTATTCACTGCCCTGGTTGGGCAGCACCTGCCCCACTCCCTTCTTCACCTTGGGGGGCTTCAATCTGCCCCACATCCCTTCCCTGCCCCACACCATTTCCCCTCCACAGCCTTACTAGTCGGGTGTTGCTCTCTGTGCTGCCCATCTGCATTCCTGGCCACATGCATGTGGCAGCTGCACATTTGCATGCAGTATTTATTGGTGACGTTATCATTTACAGTGGCCAAAAAAGCACTGATTGCTAATAATGTTAATTTTCCTTTTATTGGTGCCAGTCCAGTATGCCACTGGTATATCGGTGCACCTCTAATTTTTACTTTTCCTCTATTATTTTCCAATGCCCTTGGTGATATCTGGAGAAGTACAAGACTTAATTGCTTTCTTTTTCATACATGATAAAGCAGGGGTGCTCAGCCCCTGGCTTGTGGGCTGATCAAGTCCATGGAGTCGTGTAATCTAGCCCACAAGGTTCTCTAAGGGTCTACATATTTGGTGGCAGAGTAGTGATGGCAATTAATGCTGCCATCATTCCCCCATTGCCAAATTTCAAAGCTTTCATTGTATGAAGCATCAGATAAAGATGTTTCAAAATATAGCATCTTCTGTAACTTGTGCTTGCAGAGCTCCAAGCCTGTTGCTGTTTTCAAGATGGGAGGGGAAAGGGAGCAGAAGGAGTTCAGACTGGAGTTTTTTCAGCCCCTGTGGAAGATGGGGTGGGTGTATTGGAGCCCCCAAACCTGGCTGCAAGCTCCTAGCCCACAGCTAGATTCCCCTCCCCCTGGAACCAGAGGTGAACTTCTGTTTGGTCTGGGGTAGTGCTGTAACTCAGAATGCCTTGCAAAAATCGTTCTGAGTTATGGTCAGTCAGGAAGCATTTGAGGTACATAATATATATAATGTAGAAACATATGCACACATTCTCTTAGTCTGAGATAGTAGCCAGGAACCTTTTCCTGTGGCAATCAAGAAAGGCCAGAGCTAGGACCTAGCCAGCACTGCCCCTGCTTCTCTCCTCTGCTGGGCTGCTGCATGTGGGAAGCTCCCCACCACCTGGTTGCATAGCAGAACAGCAGGCAAAGGCAAAGTTCCCACTACCAAACCCCCAGCTTTGTGGCCTGCAAGCTATACATTGCTGAACCCTGATCTAAAAGAATGAAGTAGGTCATCTTTCAGCACCATTCTGTTCCATAGAAGTGTGTGTTTGGGAGGAGGGGCAGGGGGAGGGAAGTCCTTTCTAAATATAATGGTACAGGAAATACAGTTCCTTTATGTGCTTTATTTTCCTTCCATCTCCTGAAATGCTGAACCACTGAGTAATCAGAAGGATGCTTATTTTAGCTTTGATATGACCTCAAGACTGATATTTCTTCAAGACTGATACTTCCTATCAATTTGAGTTTGTAGGTGACACTCTGAATTGCAGCACAGGGGAGCTAAGGTTAAATAAATTAACTGGAAGCACTCATGTACTGATCTATTCTGCCAGTCATCTCTCTGAACTAAAATATCTTCATGTCTACAGAGAGAGGCATAAACACTATGGCTTAAACAATTGATTCTCATCCAGGGTGTTGTGGCATCTTGGGTGCCTTGAGATCCTTTCGAGGGTGCTGTGAGGTATCAGAAAATATTAACACTGTTAAGTGTGCAAATGATTCCCAAAATAACCCTTGACATTTTAAATAGGAATCCATAGTGTTAAAAACATTCTGATATGTTGTGGCTTCCTGAATATTTGCATTACGAATTGATCTATTTTTTTTATTATCAAAACATGAGTGAAAACTAAGCTGACATTTTCCAAGGGCTATCTTGAGTCTAATGAGGGTTGCTTTGAATCTAAAAGGCTTGAGAAACAGTGTCTTAAGCAAACAGCATTCCTGATATAAACTGGTTGTTGTGATTGGGCTATCAGATTCCATAACATTGGGCAACTCATCACATTTTTTTGCACTGAAAAGAAAACAATTTTTTTTTTAATTTCCATTAAAACGAGACAAAGTTTGACATTAAATGGTTAGAGGATAATGCTCTGTGGTTATGTTGTACAGCAGATCACCATGGGATCCAACATATGCTGCCTTTTTAGTCTGTTAAGAAGTGTACAGAGCATCTTAGAAAGTCTGGTCCCAGACAATTTCACCTCAGTTTTTGAGTGACTGTCAAATAAGCAACAAATGCTTACTATATTATATCACTAAGAATTTTAATACAGCTTGAGATGTATTCAATAAAGGTTCTGTCAGGTCAACATTCAAATTTGAAATGTGGAATTGGCTCTAGGAGAAAAGGTTATATCTGTGTTACAGAAGTACCCTCTTGTGGAAAGTAATGCAATAGAGTTCAACATGTGAGAGTACTATAAAGTGGAACATAAACTTATTTTAGCTTTGGACCCATATGCTATATGTAGGTGTAACTCAAGGCAATATGTATAGGTTCATTTCCAAAGATATATGAGGCATGAGAATAAACAAAGGTAGCATTATTTTCAGAAACTGATGATACATTAATTATGCCAACACCAAAAATGTCTAACCATAATTGAATATTTATATATCAACACAAATGTGTATTCCTGAATTATAGCAATATTTATTAGTCTGAAGTCTTGTTGGAAGGTAGCTATGATGCTTACTTTCTACAGTGAGCTGTTATCCAACTGATGTGCACAATTTAATCTTGGAGAATACAGAAGAAAAATAAAACTCAAACTATTTGAATTTTTGCCAAGTTACCCTTGTTACTGGTTATATGCTCCTGGAAAACAGTGCACAACTCAAATTCGCATAAAGGGAACCCACTTTACAATGTAAAAAATGGGGATAGTTCCAAGACCTCAACTGTACTGACCCCCAGACCCATTTCCACTACTTTTACAAGGCAATTTTGATACTCACCAACAGCAGTCAGTACACACGTGTACAGGACACTATCATAATGAGGATGGCAACTACAGAAACACGTCACAGACAATGAGCAAGGAGCAAAGATCTACACAGGAGACTATATTTAGGTGCGTGTCACTCCCACAATGCACCACACAAAGCAGCTGACTGTGGGCTTCCACCACACCGATCACATAAGAGTGAATTTACCTCACATATGATGAATTTTGGGTATAAAAAGGGTCATTGCAAAAGAGTGAATTTGCACATACAGAACCTGCATAAAGTGAGGGAAACCTGTAGTTGAGTTGCTCATATCTGAGATTTTGGTTCAACATGTAGGTTAAAACTATGTAAATTATAAAGTGCTGCCCACAAAAATATGTAATGACTCAGTGAGAACAACAATTGAAGAAAAACCCACTTTTTAATTTTAACAGATGGATACAGTTTAACTAGAACCAACTGAAGGGTATGAGAGGTCCAGATTATGTCCTTTTGACTTTTGTTACTTTCCCTTTGTAAATGTAACTTAATTTGTTTGGTGCTTTTGTGTTGTGTCAATGTGGTGTGTCATATGCACAATTTGTTTGATATGTTTATCTGTGCCAGGCTACAAATTTCCTTTCAAAACTGGGGTTTGTTTGCCACCTTTTTCCTTTTACTTCATGTTGGTCTAGAATATCAAATGCTAAAAACTAACAGATAATTTATATAGGTGCCATTGAAATGGAACCATCTGAGAGAGAAAATCAGAAAATAGGATGGCTCCTGCACAAGAGAGCTTGTTCAGCAGAGTTGAGGTCACTTGGTAATTAAATCACCAAGTGGTCTCTAGTCACCAGTTGAGGTTGTTCAGGAAGTCCCAGGATAGAAGAGAGCTGTTCTACTGTCTCTGTTTAGTCATGTTCAGCAGCTCAAGCCAAGGGTAGTTGCCAGAGGAATCAGATTATATGGGGGCAGAACCTTGCATCCTTGAGCAAAGAGACCCCCTAGGTCTCCTAAAGAAAAGATGAGAAGCCTTGCTGTCAACAAGTTTGTTTTCTGAATATTATGTACTCTTTTGCATTTTCTTGCATAAAATATACTTGAGTTTAAAGAACTTCAGTTGTTCTGTGACCAGTAACATGATAGGTGCAGTGTACACATGCAGATGTAAGCTAGAAGGCATATGCTTGAAAGCTAGAAGGTGCACACCACTAGTGGGATGGCATTAGTGGCAAATGTGTAAGAATTCCTGGGAAGCAGCAACAAGGCCTGGGTACTTGGACTGTAGTACAAAGAGAGATATCAGTGAGAAGATCTTTGTCTGGAGTATGTGCTTGGAGGCCTGCAGTCAGGGCAATGGCTATATTCCATACTGTCAGAGCAAGCCAGGGTGTAGTGGATTTTCATGATTGGATGTCTTAAAAGCAGTTTGGTGAGGGTCTTAGAGGAGCTAGTCCTGTCTGTGGTATAGACCCCTGTAGAAAAGTCAAAACTGACTAAGGTAACCACCTCTACTTAAGAAAACACATGTGGAAGGATGAAAAAGACTTCACCATTTGGTGCATGGAACGTGGGAGGGCACCATCTTTGAACATGGTGACAGTTGCTCTTTGCTGACTGATATCTCCTCTTGTAAGTATGGTACAAAGGTAATCTTGGTGTCTAACCCACTGTTTTCAAGGTCAAACAATCCAGTAAAGATGATTCCAATGTTATAGTGACAAAATAAGTAGGGTTTGCAATTCTCTCAAGGCAAGTTACTCAGCATTACTTTATGAAATTTTTTTTACATGCCAGTTAAAATCTAAATGCTATATATAAAATTGGAACATCAATGTGGAATTAATAAGAAGTGCTACAACATGCAACATGTATTAAACAAATTAATGTGACCATCATCCATTAGGCAACTTGGTTTTCCTTATACAGTTTTCACCACATTTGCAGTATTCACTACAGGAAATGTAATTTTTTTGTCACTTGCATCATGCATTTTTGCATGTTGCACAGTTACATGTCAGCAATAATTCATCAGGAACACAATGGAGACATTTGTCTGGAAAAACAGCTCCACTCGGGTCTTTGTACCATCCAAAATCTTTCAGATTTAACAAACTTTTGTAGCTGCTATCATCCAGGCTAAAGCATTCACGTGCCACAAAGAAGCATCTTCTGGGATGTCCATTTTCACTAGAGATGGAAGGGGGAGGGGGGGAGCTGTGAGATTTTGGTTTACTGTTGTACAGTGCAAAACGAAGCTCATCAAATGTTTTGCAATGAAGTGATGACTGTAGGATCTTTAACAAGCTTTTCTTTAGCTCTGTTAGCATGCTGTCTGAGGATACAGTTAACTTCAGCAAAGCCTAAAAGGAATTTTGGTGATGCATTCAGTGCTGACAGTTTTGTTCCCACTTTGCTGGTGACATCCCATCCTGTGAGAGTGTGAACCTTACTAAGACCAGGGCACACAAAGGTGGACCTAGTTTCTGTCCAGGTGTATGAAGAGGAACAACTGTGACTTTACCATCCAAGCCTACTTTAATCTAAAGTTCCAAAAGTCTTTTTTCAAACAGCTGAAACAGATATTGAAGAAGGAGGACAAAAACATTTGTATCGTTAGCACTGTGACACGTGTGAAACCAAATGAAACTGTATCAAATAAATGGATGACCAGCCAAGTATCCACTTCTTTTAGAGCAGCATACCTGAATTCTGTCATCTGTGATCATTATGGGCTCTCTTCTGTCACTTTCTCCTGTCATAATTCTACTTAGTGCTGTAGTATGTATGCTACTCACTCTTCCTTTTTCACAAAGGTACTGTTTGGCTGACAGTTGTAATAACTCTTTGTTTGCTGAAGAAGACCAAAACTTCTCCATCTGAACAGGTAAAGGAGTATCAGGATCCAGTTTTACAAACTCTATTGGTGTAATAGTCTCTCTTCTCTTGTTCTCCTTCTTTCAATGACTTCTCCACGTAACTGTCAAACATGATATCTGCCCTCTGAACCAGTTGGAATTGGCCCTGAAATCTGCAGGTAGGCAAGGCTTAGTACATGCTTATCTGTAATCTCAAATTTTCTGGCATTGCGGCTTGCTCATTAAATGGCTTCCACTTTTAGCCACATCAGTTTCAGGAATTTTTGTTTTACTGGAACTTCACTGAGGCCAGGCTTCACCTGAAACAGAACATACACTGTATCATGGGAACTGTGCATGCCACCGATTGTTGAACAGTTTTCATGGTCAAAGTTATCTATAGCACTGAGTGTAAAGTTTTATTTTCTGAAATAAGCAGGCAAAGGAGTTTCTCCATGAGCACTGCTGTGAACAGTGTAGACTGCCAGTTTTTTTCTGAAATGCTGCACTTCATTGTAGCTTATAGACACTGATGACTTGTTCATGGCAGTAGTCAAAATTCTTTGTTTTTGCATTTATCGTATATTACATGGCCAGTCATGATCTGAAGTGGGTTTTTTTTCTAGTCATTATGAACTGAATAATATAGGATCTGAAACAATAATCTAACATTTAGGGTTGATTTGCTTTGATATGAAAGGTTTTTTAGATGTCCCATTCTCACACCATCACTATCACTTTCATCACTTGCTGTTCCCTGGTGCATCTTTTGACTGATCATGCTGGTGTTCCTCGGACATCATATTGGATATTAACTCTCCCTTACTTATACTGAGTAGCACTGATAAAAATGTGACAAGTTTGTTTGGCAGTTGAGTTCTTGACCACACTGACCTCAGTTTTTCAGAATCACAGGACCTTTCTTATCCAAAATCTACTTTCTTAAGGGATTCCCATATTATCCTTTACTGCTGTTTTAATGGTATCTACTTTCCTGATGCACTTAATGATTTCATCTGGTGTTAGATCAGCAGAAAGCACCATTATAGGCTCATTTTTGCAGTCTGAATAACTCAAATGTATCCCATCTCTATGGCACTTTTATAAATGCATCTTCACTTCATTATTCCTTATGTCACCACCCACCAAATCATTTACAAGATCTCTTACTTCAAAAAGTGTGAAACCGTAACCATCTTTCAACACCGGCCCCACAATTTCATTTGCCTTCTTGAAAGCTGTATCCTTAGGAGAGGGTGTTTTCTGGGTAACCAACCACTTAAACGTGTTGTCATATTTCTTCAGGTATGTTTCCAGGCATACTTTGTGATTAAAGTACATCTGCTTCAAACACTTGGGATTCTGATTCCAGGTCTGCAACTTGAGAGAAGACATCATCCTGGAGATGAAGAGCAGCTGTTTCACAGATGCAAAACTTATCTCTTATTTTGATATGGCTTTGCTGGCTGCATACAACTCAAGGAAGATTTGCCAACAATTTATATGAGGATGAAGGTGCTCTTGCTTGCACGTAAGAGTGGGTTGCTTGTTGTGTTTGTTCTTCAGAA